CGAGTGAGATCTTGTTTAAAAAAAAAAGTTCTATAATTTCTCTAATACTTGTAAGATTTAATTTTTCACTTAAATTTTTTTTTTTTTTTTTTTTGAGACAGAGTCTTGCTGTGTCACCCAGGCTGGAGTGCAGTGGTACAATCTTGGCTCTTTGCAGCCTGGATTCCAATCCATCCAATTCTCTCCCTACTGCCAACACTCCAAGTCAAGTTGTCATTTTTTTTACTTCAACTACTATTGTTATTTCCACCTTTTAAAAAGTACTTTTTTTGGGTTGCTATGTTTTGGATGTTTGTGCCCCTCACTAATTTGTATGCTGAACCCTAATCACCAACACAGTGGTGCCTAATCACCAATGTGATGAGGCTTTTAGGAGGCGATCCGTCCAGGAGGGTGGAGGCCTCATGAATGGGATGAGTGCTCTTGTGAAAAGCTGGGAAAGAGTGGCCGGGCACGGTGGCTCATGCCTGTAATCCCAGCACTTTGGGAGGCTGAGGCAGGCGGATCACGAGGTCAGGAGATCGAGACCTTCCTGGCTAACGCAGGGAAACCCCGTCTCTACTAAAAATACAAAAAATTAGCCAGGCGTGGTGGCGGGTGCCTATAGTCCCAGCTACTTGGGAGGCTGAGGCAGAAGAACGGTGTGAACCTGGGAGACGGAGCTTGCAGGGAGCTGAGATGGCGCCACTGCACTCCAGCCTGGGCGATAGAGTGAGACTCTGTCTCAAAAAAAAAAAAAAAGAAAAAGAAAAAGAAACGAAGAGCTGGGAGAGAGCTTGCTTTCTCCCTCTCTGCTCTCCACCATGTGAACATACAGGCTGAAGGCAACTTCCTTGCCCTTTCTCCATGTGATGACACAGCAAGAGATGCCATCTATAAACCAGGAAGTGGCCCTCAGCAGATACTGAATCTGCCAGCACTTTGATGTTGAAATTAGCAGCCTCCAGAACTGGGAGAAATGAATTTCTTCTGTTTATAAGCCAGCCAATCTATGGTGTTTCATTATATTAGCACACATGGAGTAAGACAGGAGCCATATTGACATACAAACCCATGACACAAAATTTGGAATGTTCTACAGATAAAAAGTAAGTTAAATCTTTCTCTCATTCTTGTACCTCAACTAATCAGCTCCCCTCCCCAGGAATAGCCACTCTTGCTGAATTCTTACACAGCTTTCATAAAAGCATTTCCACATATGTTCCTTTTTATTTTATCATGCAAATGTAGCATGCTCCATGGATTTTTCTTCCATTGCTTTTCAATTCATATAGCTTGGAGTTGTTCCCATATTCGTATATCAGGTGTACTAGCCTGCCTTATTACAGTTAATGTGTGACATTGTATTTTATGAGTGTACCAAAATTTATTTAATCAGACTCAGGTTGTTTCCAGTCTTCTGCAATTATAAACAGTGCTGCAATGAATATAGCTATACATAAGACTTTACACACATGTGTGACTATGTTTCTGGTGTTTTAGACCTTACAGACATTTTACAGTTTTATGTGGAACATTTTGTCAGCCTTTCTTGCATGGTTTCAAGGGTTTTGTGACATACTTAGAAAAACTTTCCCTACTCAAAACCTATCTAAAAGTTCTTCCATGCTGGGTGTGGTGGCTCATGCCCATAATCCCAGCACTTTGGGAGGCTGGGGCAGCAAGATTGCTTGAGACTAGGAGTTCGAG